GAGGCCGCTGCTGCTGTCCGCTCCACGGCGCCTGGCTCGCTTTTGTACCCTACTTGCATTTCCCCTGCCTCTGTCTCCTCACCAGCCCCAGCTCCACGAGGACAGGGGGAAAGGCGGGCCATCTCCCTGGATTAGCATAATATCCCATCCATCTCCTCCTCCTGGCTTTTGGGAAGCTCCCCCTGCCAGAGAGGGAGCGAGCCCCGCTGGGCAATATCGCACAGGAGAGAGCAGCGAGGAGGGGGAGAGAGATGCAGGAGGTGGGCAGAGGGACCGGAGAAAAGGAGACAAAAGAAGGGAAGGGAGTTTGGGGAGAGATTTATAGACGTGTCAGTTTCACTCTTCAGCATCAAATCTTGCATTGGAGCTGGCAATCTCAGCTGGTATCCCGGACCAGCCCTCCTGGAGGGTCACCAGAAGAAGAAGGGAGAGTGGGGGATGCAGGCGGGAGCCATTGGCCAGAATGAAAGGCCTTGATGAGGTCCCAGCTCTTCACCCCGTTAGGTATAGAGAGATGTCCTGTCCTGGTCTCTGATGACAAACTGTCATTTCTCATCATCAGTAACCACTTAGAAGAAAGCAATTGCCCACCTCTGGGGGGAGAAAAATGAATCAGTTAAATTGATTCCAGTTTCAGTCCCAAAGCTGGTCTGTTGCATTTCCCACAGCCCTACATAGATATACACCAAGGTGGCAGGAGCATCTCCAAATCTCTGGTGGTACCATGGGTCTAGTGGGCCCGGATAGTTTATGACATTTCTATGTGGCTCCTGATTCCCATGCTGCGGTTGGCAGATTCCTGTTGCCACCGGTCTCAGAGCTGAGCATGGAGACGACACCCCTGGTGCATGGAGGTGGCAGAAATTTGGATTTTGAACTTTTCATGTGGCTGAGTTTTGAGACTGGTGACGCCCATTTTATAGCTTGCTAGGTGTAAACCCATTACTTTTGGTTGGAACTGGCAACCAGCAAATTGATTATTTTTGTCTCCTTGCTTATTTTTAAAGGTGCTCAGATACCTGGGGGGGAGGTGGAGGGGATGACCTATGAACCCACATAGGCTAAAACAGACTCTGTCATCATTGCTCCAGGTGGGATGGATGAAATGTAAATTTCTCTTACACCAATAAACCATATGCAACCAAGTGTCTTTTCCCATGGGAATTTCTATCGCAGGTTTTCTGAGTACTCTAATGTTCCCTTCTCTGCCCTGTACTTTGTAGTGCAGAGAAAGAGATTCTCATTACCCTCCCTTTCTACTTCCTAAACTCACTGTCCTCAAGTGAGACTTGTCAGTGACCGTGAACTAATCTCCCTGAAATCCATTCTGCAACCTGAGGTCACTGTCCAAACACTGAGCTGTTTCTTGCAAAATAACACTATCTATAAACCCCCGAGTTACTTGTGACTTTCCCAAACCTGTGTGTTCTTGACAATGTGGTCAGGCCAAGCAGAGTGACTTTCCTGGGGTGGCTGGGGAGAGGATGAGTAGGGAGACCAGAGGAACTCTTTTTTCATGCACATAGAAACTTTCCCCTTGAATTCCTTTAACATGTAGTCAGGGAATGGACCTTGACTGGACAACAACACCCCTGCTGTCCAGCAGAGGTCACTCCATATTACTGGAAAGGTGAATCTGTGAGATTCCAAAACTGGTGGTGACAGACGCGATAGTGTCATATAACAAACAAGCAGTAGGGGCAAAGACTGTGCCATGCCTCTGGGTGGAAAAGTGAGAAACAGTTTGGAGACAGGGCAGTGTGAGGGGAGAGGGATCCAAAACACAGGCATGACTGTCCTGGGAGAGAGGCACCACGACACAGAACGGGATAAACATGATATTTGTGCGTAAAAGCTTTCTGTTAGGTCAGAAATTAATACAACATGGTTGGCAGCAGAATTAAAAACTGATGGGGCCATAGAAAGTCAAGGCGGGACAGGGAGAGAGGAGGAAATTCATGTGACAAATCAAGTGTCCTTTTGAACTGCCATTTTCACTGGATTCCATAGTCATCTTCATTCATACTTCTCTGTAGTGTTGCAGCAAGTTGTTAAGCAGTTGCCAGGTTCCACCTCTGCCTTGTGATTCCTGCAATAGCTTGGCAATAGATGAGGAGATGATACCTACCTACTTGCTACATTTCAAATATGCTTTGGTCTCTTGTAGGACGGGCGCTCTATAAAAATAGCATAAAACCAGAAATCCATTAAAGTTGCGCCGTTAAGTGCTCAAAAACCAAAGTTTAAGAGAGTAAGTTTGCACACGTGGCCTTACTCTCTGCCCCTTGTGTGTCTGCATTATGGTACAGACATGAATATCTGTGTACTGCACATATGTATTTAAGGTGGTATGGCAAAAGGTCTGAGAATACTGTATTCTCTGAGAAAAGTTTGTGATGTGATTAAAGACCGTATTGTAATGAATATCCAGGGCAGGGAAAAGTTAATGTTGCTTCTGTAATCTTAACATTGCCTTTTTGTGACTTTTGGGTGATTACTGTGCAACCAGGGCCGGATTAAGAGGGGGGCTAGCCGGGTAGCTGCCTGGGGTGCCAACTTATGGGGTGCATGACACGTGTGGCTCCGCCCCCAGGTGCCAACTTATGGGGGGCGCCAACTTATGGAGGGCACCTGATGGCAGGTGTAAGGGGCGCTGCACGCCCGGCTGCACGGTGCCCATTAAAGCTGCCATCAGGCGCCGCATGCCCGATTGCAGCTGTAAGGTGTGCAGCGCGCCGGGGGGTGGGGCTGCACATGCGCTGAGTGCCTGGGGGTGGAGCCGCACATGTGTCATGCACCCACTGCCCGGGGCGCAGAAATGGCTCTAGCTGGCCCTGTGTGCAACCTTAAGGCCCGATCCTATAACAGGCTCTGCACAGGTACAGGGCTCTACCTGAATAGCATCAGGTTTAGGACCAGGGCCCCAGTTTGCTAAATGGAATTTCCTAGGGTTTTGTTGTTGTTTGTTGTTTTTATTCTATCCTTTTTCTTTAAAGAGTTTTCTTAATGTGGAACTAATATCGAACTGTGCAGCCTTCTAGCAGATGCTGAGCCTATGCCCAAAGAAGTTGGAGCATAAGCTTTCGTGGGCAAAGACTCACTTTGTCAGATGCAGCTGACGAAATGGGTCTTTGCCCACGAAAGCCTATGCTCCAATACATCTGTTAGTCTATAAGGTGCCACAGGACTTCTTGTCGCTTTTGCAGATCTACCCCTCTGATGATGCTATCTGATTACTATCTGCTGTCTGGGGACCAGCTCCTGAACTGGTGGAGGGTTGGAATCCGTGATCTCACAGATCTTTTCCATCTCTAAGCATTGTGCTCCTATGGACTGACTCATTCCAGAACAATTGGGTGTACGGATATGATGCAAAAACAATTAGGAGTCCTGTGGCACCTAAAAGACTAACAGATTTTTTTAGGTGCCAGCTTTTGTGGGTAAAAAACACTTTGTTAGTTACATCTAACAAATTGAGTTTTACCCATGAAAGCTTATGCCTAAATTAATCTGTTAGGGTATGTCTACACAGCAGCGTTATTTCAGAATAACTGACGTTATTCCGAAATAACAAAGAGCGCATCTACACAGCAAGCCATTATTTTGGAAATAATGTTGAGCTGATGGACTTCTTACTCCGACTCCTGTAACCTTTATTTTGCAAGGAGTAAGGGAAATCGAAAGGAGAGTGTTCTTCCTTCGACTTCCTGCTGTGCAGACAGCACCAAAAGCTGAATTAAGCTATTTTGACTTCAGCTATGCAATTGACGTAGCAGAAGTTGCGTAGCTTAATTCAACTTTTGCCCTGTTATGTAGATGTACCCTGAGTCTTTAAGGTGTCACAGGACTCCTCGTTGTTTTTGCAGATACAGACTAGCACGGCTACTTCCCTGAGATTGGGCTATGATGATGATTTTTCCATTGGGAGCACAGAAAAGTGTATTTGTTCCCGTGGGTAAGTCCATATACTTTTTGTCTTTGTGGAAGCAGATTACCTCGAGTTTCAGGGACTACTTGCTTGTGTAGGAAGGGACCCCAAAGGCTTTACAACTTCAGTGTATGAGCAATAGCTTCTGTTTTGCATCTTAATCACTATCCCCAGAGCTTGGTTACAGGCCTCAGCAGATGCACAGAAAAGTGTATTTGTTCCCGTGGGTAAGTCCATATACTTTTTGTCTTTGTGGAAGCAGATTACCTCGAGTTTCAGGGACTACTTGCTTGTGTAGGAAGGGACCCCAAAGGCTTTACAACTTCAGTGTATGAGCAATAGCTTCTGTTTTGCATCTTAATCACTATCCCCAGAGCTTGGTTACAGGCCTCAGCAGATGTCGGGGCTGGCTTTGGGGTGGGTGAGTTGAAGGGCTAACTCTCTCCTTATTAAGGGACCAGCTGTGGCTTGTTAGAAAAAGGGAGACTAGCAGGAGTGGAGAATGGGAGAGGGAGAGAAGCGGAAATAGTAACCAGCATACCACAAGGAGACAGAAGCGTTAAATCAATAACTACAGACCAACCAGTGGCAATGGGTCAATGTACTTCCAGATTTATGACACGCTGCTCTTCTTCCCTCTGTTCTCTACATAAGGCGGGCTGGGTAAGCCACCTACACGCTAATTTCACAAGTGACTGCCGCCAAACAGTGACCCGTTCTGCCTGGCATGGCTTTTAATTAGCACCTGCATGGCCTCATCAGCTGAGTAATTGCTCTGTTCATGGGTCAACAAGCCAACGGCCTCTGACCTCCCATTCCCGTCGGGGTAAAAGGGTTTGTGTGCACATGGGGTGGAAGAGACAGTCTCGGTGCAGGTAACTTATTTGCCTGGACAATGTGTTCTGCTTCAGGCCAGCACTGGTGCAGGATCTGTAAAATGCTCCTCCGGTCCTGGGGCCCAGGCATTTCCTCAATACTCCTCATTCCTGCCTCAAAGCTACCTGTGCCATTATAGCCCTGGGCCATCAAACAGGTCAGTCAGTGCATTTCATGCCTTTCCTGCTGCACCCCGGATCAGGTGTTCCACACCGGATCAGGTGTCCACATGTCCCGCACATCTGTACTGACACACAGCAGTCTCTGGTGTTGCTGTCTTGGCTTTTCACACAGCTCAATGCAACTTCTTGCTGGCCCACCAGCCCATTCTTCAGCTTCCGTGCAGCTCTGCCAATGCTCCTCATTCTTGGGCTGTTCTGGTTTGAGGCTGCCTCCTCGCTTGCCAATGCCTCTCAGTTCTTCCCAACTACAGCCCTCTTCTGTTCCCATCTAGCTGGACTTATGCCTGACCCGCTGCACCCCCTGGTATTCCAGGCTTGGGGCTCACCTGAAGCTCTTCTGTTGCTCATCAGTCTTGGCCTGCAGCACTGGTTTCCACTGCCCTGTGATGCTCCAGGGCTAGCTCTCTCTCTTCTCTAGGTCTAGGCAATGCTGACAATGAGCTATGGTACGTGGTGGTGTGGTGATGCGGACAGCCATTCTCTGTTCCCTAGGTGATGTGAACAGCTGTTCTCTGTCCCAGAGTAGGTGAACACCCCAACATGGGAGCTCTCCCTCTTGGCCCACCAAGGCAGAAAATAGAATAAAACAGAATAAACGAAAAGATAATTTCTCACCCTTCCCATTTGGGCATTTACCCTTCCATGCTTTTCTCTTGGGCCACTCATCAGGGCGACTCTGTCTCTCACCTTTCCCTGCCCTCTCTCCCTGCCTGTGTTCTATTGTACTGTGTTCTCTACCCTCCCTTCCCTCCTGAGCCCATGAATGCTCCCAGGACTTTAAATATCCTTGCTGGTCCTGTCAACTTGTTCTCTCCCATCCATCAGTCTCCTCTGCTCAGAGATTGACAGGGGAGGCTGTTTCCAGTGATGCCAAGACAGGGAGCCAGAATCTACCAGATGCAGCCAAAGGGCAATGACAGCCACTGTAGGAAGTGTAATCCAATATGACTCTGCCTTGCAATGCAGGTGTATATTTTTGCACAGAACATTACTATCTTAGTGCCATTAACTTACATGGGGGCTACAGGTGCTCAGGATTTCTCTCCAAGTGTGGGAATTTATGGGGGAGAATGTGAATTGATAATTTGGAAGAAGAAAAGATTTCTATAAGGCTCAGATGGCAAGTTTGGGCTTGAGGAGGTGCAACAGTTTTGAGTGTCCACACCACCACTGCAATGGCTGTGATGCAGGGAGGTGAGGGAGCTGAGAGCTCTTGCTTGCCATCTGTAGTAATATTTCTGATTTGTTTCTGGTTGTGTTCACATAGCGCCAGGTGCTTTCTAAGAGAAAACAAGGCTTGGTGCCCAGCTGGGCTGTTACCCTAAGGGGGCGTGGCAGTATGACTGGTAGCTTCAAAATGCTCAGGGATGGTGAGACAGCGTAGAAAGGGGGCCTGCTAGGGGCAGTGCTCATTTGGAGCCCAGAACACTTGGGCTCACTTCCTGATTCTGCCCCAGATTCCTTGGGCAAGTCACTTGATCTCTTGGTTCCCCATCTTCCTTTCTCCCCTACGTTGTCTAGTCTATTTAGATCAGAGGTGGGCAACCTGTGGCCCAAAGGCTACGCACAGGGGAGCTGAGAGGATTATCAGGCCCCTGGCAATGGGTGTGTGTGTGGGGGGGGGAGCTGAGAGGATTAGGCCCCTGGGCAGTGTGTGTGTGTGTGTGTGTGTGTGTGTGTGTGTGTGTCCATGCTCCCGGACAGGATAGGGCCTCAGGTGGAAGGGGTGGGGCTGGAGCAACCAGCCCTCAGCTTTCCTGCCGTTCTCTCTCACAGCAGTACATGCACCAGTACATGCAATGCCAGGCTCTGGAGTGTGCCATGTGGTGCTCCACAGTGATTCTAACGGGCCCAAGGATCCGGTCACTGCCACTGCCACAATAACAGTGACTAGGAGCCCTGGGCCCTTTAGAATCGCTGGGCCCTGGAGCAATTGTCGGTTGGTGGGCCTGGCTTCACATGGCTCATCAGGGTGACCTGCTGGCAGGCCACCAAGCAGGTTGTTTATCTTGCATCCACAGGTACATCTGCCCATAGCACCCAGTGGCTGAGGTTCACTGTTCCTGGCCAATGGCAGCTGTGGGAAGTGGCGACCAGCAAGTCCCTGTGCCAGTTCCCACAGCTCTCATTGGCTGGGAATGGTGAACTGCAGCCACTGGGCGCTATGGGCAGATTTATGACTGGCAGGCTTAATGCCCCAAATTCACATTGGCTCAAAGGCTGGATAACATGGTGAGCAAAATTCTATCTCATCTGTCCCAGCCCCGCTTGCATGGTGGTGGTTTTATTCAAGGAAACAGGCTTCTCTGGTGGGCTGGATGTGCATTCTGATGCTCCAGCTGCAAGATCAGAGAAAGAGTTAAAAGTGTGAGCCCAAGGAGTCGTCCTCCCCCTACCCCGCTATATGTTCTATTGAATAGACATCCAGCCCCAGGAATGTAAATGTTCTGTCATCCCCACAGGCTGAGCAGCTGGCTGCAGCAAGTGCCCGGTGCTTTTTGTCATTCCCCAAAGAGCTCCAAAGACAGTATTTGAGTTTGTCCAGAAGTCCGGGTGCAGGGAGGCAGTGGCCTGGGGCAGAGAACAAGCCCTCTTTCTTCGTGGGAAAAAGGGGCTACTTGAAGTGTTTGGAGAGCCTTATCTCTGGCTTCGAAAGCTGCTCTGTGTGATTGCTTGTCAAGATTAGCTGCACATCGCAGAAGAGATGGAGCCCTTCCAAATGTATGTGAAACTCTCTTCTCTGTTCTCAAGGCCATTCACAAAGCACCAGATCAGCAGTAGCAACAGCAGACAACACACTGAAGGAAGGGGATATAAAGGCAAAAAATCAGATGCCGAGGTTATGGGTTGGGGCCAGGGATCTGAATGGGTCATTGGCAGGTTACATTAGCTCTAAATCAGGAAGACAATACACAGGACATTTTACCCATTAATGTCCTTAATCCAGAGTACCTCAGAGGAAGGCTTTAAGACAAGGTTGAGAGAGTAGGTTCCTCCTTGGCAAATGGGTCATTTTCTACACAGTGGCTGATCAGCATGCTGGAAAAAGCATCCTACAACCACAGAGAAACCCTGGGAAGGGCCGGAGAGGAGCTAAGGTTGGAAGTGCAGGGGGAGAGGGGAGAGGAAGGAGGTGGATCCAAGCCCTAAGATGGAATATAGTAAGTCTGTAAGGACAATTTTGCCCATATTAGAAGTGAAGTTGGGTTCAGAATGGCAGACTTTCTGAAGATTGTGTTGTGAGGAAGTTTTCTAGTCTGGCTGCAGTGCTGTAAAATCTCTGGGGTTCAGGTCAGCCATGCAAGAGGTAACTGCAATAGTTCCATGGTTAAGGCTGGTAAAGGATTCAGAGGGAGCAGACTGAAGTTAAGGATGAATTTCTAGCCTTGTTCCAGACATGGCAGATTGCAGGTGGGAGCAAGAAGAATGGAATACAAGACTTCTGCTGTTGGACAGCAAAGATGAGGCCTGGATTAAGGAGTTAGTGATACTGGAGCCAGAGAACATTGTATTCAGACAAAGAAATCTGATGCATTTGTGAGTCACAAGTTATGGTTGCCCAGGAGCAGACAGAGGCCAGAGAAGCAGCGGGATAAATATCCGAGTCATACCAAAATGATGCAGAGCTGGTGGCATCCAAAAAGAAGGTATATCTGAGTGCAGCAGGATCTATCAAGCCATCAGCACTCTGACACCCCCAGCTTAAGGTACCAATGAGATTTAGTCCTCCAGGGTACATCTAGACTACAGGCTTTTGTCGACAGAAGTTTTGTCAACAGATACTGTCAACAAAGCTTCTGTTGACAAAGAGCATCTAGACTACATCCAGTTCAGTCAACTTCAAGCTGCTTTGTCGACATGACAGTGTAGACACAAAGGACATGTAGATGCAATAATGCCTTCTGTCGACAGAACTCTGTCGACAAAAGGCGTTATTCCTCGTAGAATGAGGTTTACAGCCGTCGACAA